TTACCATCAGAGATATTTTCTGAAGAATATTATGTTAGAAAAATTGATTTTAATTATATTCATCGATGAATTATGATGTTTTAGAATCAAATCTATGTAATACATGTAGACTAAATATTCATAGAAAAAGATAAATTTACAATGAGAAAAATCGAATTAATGAAACAACAAAGAATGATAAAATTTGTAGGAGAAAAGTTGGTCACTAGTGAAAAATTTCAAGAACTTAAAATAAAGAAAATGATATCTTCAAATGCATTTATCATGTGTTGTTTTTCTTCATAAATATAAATATGTTGATGACTACAAAAAACCCATACATATCATTCGAGTTTAGTAATGTAAAGCTTGTTAGTATATGGATTGTTTACGGTATTTTTGATAATTGTAGTTAATTTACTGTAATGTCCTAGGGAGAAGAGACACTTACCGCATAACTATTAATTTATGTTTTATTGTAACGAGTATAGTAAAATAAATGATCATCTCAATATTCTATTGATATCTCAGTCAATTTGATTTTTATCTTTTTTGAATAGATTTGCTTTCGAATTCTATACAAAACGGTATAATTAATTTCCTCTACTAATACAAGTTTCTTCTTGTCTAAACTTGAACAAAAATATTATACACAAGTGTACAAATCTGCAATTTGTTTTCCAGAGGAAATATATTTTCATCTTTCAAATATTTCAGCTTTTGTTATGACGCATTTACAACTCTTTTTAGTAATTAATCTATTGTTGATAAGTATCTCAAGTAAACTAGCAAATTTAAAAAACATATAAGAGTAAATCCATGGGAACTCGCCAGCTCATACAGTGACCATGTCAGAATCCTGTCAAACTTTCAGAGTTTGTAGAGAATTTTGCGCTGATCATTTTGATAAAAAAATATTTAGGTTTAAACCTCATTATCACAGAGATATGAATCAAATACAATTTTGAGACTTTCAAGATTTTGGTAAAAATAAAAGTCATCCTCTAATGAAAATACAAACGTTAGGACATAATTTTTCGCTCCAATTTTAAAACCAATGACATATTCAGATTCCTTGTGAAAAACTGCTTCAGATTGACTATGAATTTTAGACTCCTTTTGAAAATTACTGATTGATTTTGTCACGTGCTTCTGACCAACAGTATTTCAAAAAAGTTGATCAGAAAGTCGGGATGAACGGAAATGGTGGCATAGCTAGCTCGATAGAGCAACTCTTGCTCTACAACATACGCTATTTATCTTTCTCTCCGACTGCAATTTGGTAGTGCACGAGTATCAAAACTATTTTTGATGACAATTTCCTCAGTGAGTTTTAGTGAACCTGATCTTCAAAACCGGTGAAATACTTGGATTAGCAGGTCTGAATTTATTGGAACTCTGCAGAACTTGTAGAGTTTTTTGAGCTGATCATTTTCGTATTGAATAATTGAATATTTGACTCTATTTTCGTGAACATATAGGCGAAATACGATACACATGGATTTTTTGCTTTTTCGATATTATGCCTAAAAAAATTGATTTTTTTATAAAAGTGAAAGTGATAACGGCTTTGTTTTAACTTAAACCTAGAGTGCAATAATTTAATCAGACTTAGCGTGAAAAATTACATGAAAATACTTATGAAATATATGACCTTGCAAATGCCTAAACAATGATGTAATCTCTTTTTGAAACTATAGTTTGCTCTGTCTGATGCAGTTGAATGTAAAATGACTAAAAACTAATTAAAAAATGAAATATTCTAAAATGAGCAAATGATTGGTTCGATAGATCATAATTATTTCTACAACATGTACTAATTAGTTTTCTTTGCAACTTTTAACTCAGGAAGAAAAAGTTATTGAAAAGTATTACATGTTAGTGCCTTGATCTGTATAAGTGCACATGCCTAAGTACTGTTGTTACACCTTTTTGTAAGTGCATGATTGTTGGTCATACTTTAACTGTTGTGAGCATACCTTAGAGAATAAAATTTCTCTGTACACTCTGTCATATGTATTTTATTAATAATTAAATATATATTAATAGACTATTTTATCTTCGTGTTCGTATGTATGATTTTCAAACGGCTAATATTTAATTTGAAATAGCAGAAAATCATGATCAACAAGCATGTCATATGTATAAAATTTACGATTCGTCATAATCATGAATGTTCTTATTCAATGTCTGCATAAAATTTAACATTTCGAAGAAATTCACTTGAATAAAAACAATTAACTGTTGGTTATTATGAAATATGTCCTCTCATATATTTAGAATATTCAAAAACAATATCATTCATATTATAAAATATTTAAGAAAAAACCTCATTTAGAACCTATATCAATCTTTATTGATATTCATCTGTATCGTTCATATTTTCTTATTCTTACGCTTTATTTACAGGTTTTTATAATTCTTGTTTTTTCACAAATTATCTTTTCATTATGTAAACGAAAATTTTCATGCAAGAATGAAGAAGAGTTTATTTCGAATTTGAAAATGCTTTACAAAAATGGTATAAAACTCAAAAATTATCGATATCAATTGAAAATAAACCATTATATTGTATTCTTGAAAATCTTTTTACTCTATCAGCTTCATCTATTGAACATTTGATAGCATACCTATTGTATTTAGTTGTTGATGAACATCGACTATTAGATTCAATTATTTCTCATCTCGAAACTTCGAATAAATCTTACATATACAATTTATTATCACTCACTATACCTATTTGTTTACTTCAACAATACGTTAATGAACTCAAGAAATGACTGACTGATGAAAACAAATATTTTTATTCTATATTTAATATAAAAAAAAATAAACATAGGTAACTGTAAAAGTTGATTTGTTTGATTCTTCTAAAATCAATAATTTAGTCGTTACTATTATAATAGAACGTTTGATTTATTCGAAAATATTCGCAAAACTTTAGAGTTTTAAAATGCAAAATTTTTGTATCCATTGCCCAAAAATAATCGAAGGGTGTAAGCAAAGCTATACTGAAATGTTTGTCTCAAGACTTGATATAATAAATGGCTGCATTGGCATAATATAATTTGGTACAAAAAAATAACAAATAAACCGTAGAAATAATAAAAATATTCTAAACGACATATAATGTGCAGTGAAAGCTTTTGTTTTACATGTAACTCTCTTCAAGAACATGATAAAATGCTAATATTCTGAAAAAAATGCACCATTAAATGTTCTAATTAAATCACGAGATTAAATCTTTATAGTTATTTTCGAAATTTCAATAAACCATTAATACTGAATACGTACGTTATCGTGTCACTTTCTACCAAGAAAAATCGAAAAAGTCCATTTCGTGATTGACTACTAAGGTTATTTTTAAGCAAATCGATGTGAAATAAAATAGACTATACCAAGCACCATAAAAAAAACCAAAACGTTTATCAATCGACAAATATTTCCTATAAGGTCAATACTAGGCATAAGGTGGTGGAAAAAAGTTTAGAAACAATGTTTTTTTTTTCATAATGTTAAGCATGGTATATTTTCGTTTTGTTCTTTTCTATCGCAATGAAAGTTAATTTGATTTCATCATATGAAAAGAAAGATGAAAGAGTAACTAAATGATTTAATTTAAAACAATAAAATAAAATAAAATACACGTTGATATTTTGATGTTTTATTCTCAAACAACATCATCAGACGAAAATCATCACCTTGAAAAAAATATAATAATCTGTTCGAGTCAGCTACATAGCGAACAAGAATTGATATAAAATATAATAGATGTATACACCAATAAATCGTTTAGCTGCTCTTTCATCTTTCTTTTCATATGATATTGTCAAATACCCATTTATTTTTTGGTTCTATTAATTTGATTTATTGTTTGCAGCAAAAATGACGGTATTTGCTATGTTGAATTCGATTTGATGAGACACAAACTATTAACTAATTGACCATTGAATCTCTCTATTCATATAAGATAGGGTTAATTTTCTGATCTGCATAATGCACTACGATTCATACCAAATACCAATGTATTGTATCAAAATAAGAATTTTTTTTTCCATTCCAAACATTTTCGAGTTTTCTAATGTTTAAAATGACTGAAAAGTCTACGAGATACGTGACCAGAGGAATACATTTTGAGAAAGCTATGAAATGAGTTTAGATGTTGAAAATCAAGTCTTTGTTTCTCCTAAGATTCTAAAAGAAAGTTCACTCACACAATGTAACAAGCGTTGATAGTCCACTATATGCTATCGAATAAAAGCCAATCCTTATTATCTCTGTTGAAAATCGAGACGGCGAATTATTATTTGTGTTTTATATGTACAAAAAAATAATTCTGAGTTATCATAAACAAGTCATTTTCCGAACAACATCGGTAAAATCTTGCAAGTCTTCAATAAAGTCATTTGTATTGTTTATGTATTCGACTAGTGAGTTGTTATTTATACTTTCATGTATGTTTTCTTATCCTTTTGTCTATCGTATTGTCAAGCCTTCCACCATCTTCTGATGTGTAATCTCATGTGGAAATCATACGGTTCGAATGTTGATACGTCCTAACAGATGAAAATATTGAGATAATCACTGATGGTATAGATCTGGATATTGCCATTAATGAGCGATATTTTTCATTGATCGTATGGCGCATTTTGCGCCTTCGGGATAACAAGAAGAAAGAGATGATTGTTACTCTACTAATGCCATATATGCACAGAAAAGAATGATCTTTTTCTTTCTCCTTTTGCATATTTCATAAGAGTTTCGCTAGCGTAATAATGTTTATATGAATGTATGCATATCCATGGTTTGGTTTATTTAAGATCACATGTGTTACGAGGATTATGAGATATACCAAAATAGTCGATCACAATCTTCTAGAAGAATGTAAGAGAAGAACGATAAGTCAGAGGAAAAGGAAAAAGAAAAAAAAAAAGACGGAACAATAAGAAAAACAGCACTAATAATCATTTTATTCTTGATACTCAACAACACTCGTATTATTGTGCACGAAGAAACGCAAAATGAGTTCGTCAAACACAGGTTTGCTTACTTAGTTCAGTTTTGTAAATGATTTTATTTGAAATTATTTTCAGTAAACAAGACAATCCTAGCGGCCGATATTGCTGATGCCAAGATTGCCGGTGTTGAAACTCCAGCGGGCGATCCGCGCAAGAAAGCAGATGCGGAGAATCAAGGCTGGTTATCAGGAGATCAATTCACAATTAAAGAAACTCCGGTTGCTCCTCCTAATGCCACAATTGGTACCAAGGAATGAACATAATACGAACATATACGATTTTTTGTTGACAATAATCATCCTAATCTTAATTTGATTTTTCTTGTGAATGTTCTTTGTATCTACCTAGCTTCTTACTTATTTCCTTTTTTTTTCGAATAAAATCATCAAACATAAGCGAGTTATTCAGATCTAATAAACTTTTGTTACATGATCTTGTGATTGGTCAGCCGAAAAATCATGCGTTGAAGTAAAATTTATTTTCATATGAGATAAAGAAAACGAACCTCAATCTATCAAAGAAGCCATTGGAACTCGCTTGTCTAGATCATTCATGAACAAGCAACATTATACGCAATTCAGTACTCAACTCCATGTTACTTTCAATAGATATTCCAATAATATGACACTAATCAAACATTGACTTGACAGTAATGATTATTCTGACATATTTTACTGAGATTTATTCGTAATCATCAAAGACGATTATATGAATGGAATTGAAAACCTGTTCAATGTTTATCGTCAGTTCAACTGATAAACAAATCTCTTGTACTTTGATTAATATATTTCTGACTGAGTCCCATCGACAGATTCGATCAGAAAAGAAGTAGTAGTCTGTGAATGTCAACACTGATCACGAACAGAAACGCATCGACTGATGACAACGATGAGATTCAGTCATTGAATATTGATCTCGTTGATCGGTGATATTTCTCGATGAACACTAGAGATAGACGATAATGTACTAATTGATATCATATGAACAAACTTCTATGTCTTCATCTAGAAATGAATATAACAAGTCGACAAACAGACTTGTCACTCAAACAGGCTTCGGTAACAAGACAAAAAGAATCATCGATCATTCTAAGGAAAACTGTTCTTAAGCACGACGTTTGCACAAAACTTTTTGAGTCTCATATCCATATATAGGTACCATAGAGATGATTCTAACAACTTCTTACCACGTTTACATGAAGTACATTCTAAAACATGAAAATTTTAATATTTATAGAGTTCAAGTGAGCAAATATTTTATTTAAGGATTGAGTTGACAGAATACATTGGCATCTATGAAGATGGTGATTATCACGATTTTTTGATTGATTCTGCAATAGGACATTTGCAAAATACATGAATCAAAAAAAAAAAAGAATACTTCCATATTTTTCAAAGTAGCCTGAACCAAAATCCATAAAATGCTTCTCTCTATAAAAAGCGTTCACTTAAGCAAAATCTGAGGACCTCGATCGAGGAAAGTCAGTCAAATATTTGTTACGATGGATTCTTCACAGAACAAAAGTACACTAGAAAATTGAGTATGTCTTGCTGTAGAATAAACTCAATTCTATATCGCTGGATATCCAACCATACTAAAAAAAAAAACTTTTGAAATTAATACTATTCATCAATAGTGTCAAACTTGAAATTTAAGCTGAATCCAACTTTCAAGTTTGACATATGTAGTTCATAACCGTTGAAACAATTGCTAGAAGGATTTTCCTCTCATAAAAATATCTCATTTTACTTGTCTCCTACTGACAGCTTTTAAAAGAGCAAGCAAATCTGATTATTTCATTGCGATTGAATGAAAATTTGCTTAAAGAAATCAAAGATGGTTTTTGTGAAAAAGTGAGAACGAACGGATTTTGAATACTACTTAACATAATTTAACAAGCACAGTCAAATTGAGATTTGAGACAGTAACGAAGATCAACATTTGTTTTATGACTTTGCAAAATGTTATTCACACGAGCATTTAGATTGTCAATGCATGAAGACTAATTAAATAGACTAATATGTTAACCATTGGCTCATTGAGCAAATGTCCGAATTGAAAGAATACCATAGGTCAAAGTGACATGACTAATTTCAAGTCAATAAATAAATAAAATATAGAAATGGTTACTTGATTTCTGACGATTATCAAATACAAAATTTGCTTATCATAACAAATGCTTTAGTCACTTCATGAAGTAAATACTCGACGTTCTTTTGTTATTACATGTTTGCATATAGGATGATAAGAAATAACAAAAAACTGCTGCACACTTGAAACGACATTATTAAAACCATTATCTAGTATGTTGTTGTATTTCATCTGGAGAAACATATATATTTCAAAGTTGAAAGTTGAAGAATAGTTGTTCAATTAAATTCAACTTTCAAGTTTGACACTACTATAATAAATCTTCAACAGTTAGCGATTGACATTACAGTCTATTGAGAGAAGAAAATACTCACACTTTCACCTACACCCATTCACAACTCTACCATGATAGACTTACCTGACGCTCACATCCACTGACACAAATACTGAGATCAACACTTACACTAAAATTGCCAAACGAGAAAGATTGTTGCAGTGATATGTTTTAAAGCGAAAGCGTAAAGATCTGATTTTTTTATTTGTTATCTTATCTGGCAAAGATTGACACGTGGACAAAGTTTCATACGAAAAAATTGAATTGGTGTTTTATATCGTCTATGAATTTTGATGGTGATAGGTATGTATCGAGCTCGAACTTATACCAAGCAGCTAGAATTCGATATGACTCGAGATCGATCTGTTTCGAGTCATCTCGGTGGAGTATGGGTATTCTCTTCACTCCGACTTCCATCCTCATCCACACCGACAATCACACACTCAAACCCTGTATCCGAGACATATTAACCATTTGTAAAGAATTAAGTCGAATATGATGTAATGTATTAAATTTTCTTTTCTTTTCTTTTTGTTCTTTAATTTACTTTCCACAATATAGAGTATCATTATCAACTGTTTCTTTTTGCCGACCTTCTAATCTACACTATTCTTATTCTCTCCCCAACATAAGATATCACTAGCACACAAATTTGCGATGATAACACCCTTACTTTTATTTTTTTTTCTTTTCTTCTTCTTACTATCTTTCCGTGCCGTCGAAATAGCTGGAAAACTGCTGGTTAACCGCGTTTCTTCTACTTGATTTGTATTTTTTTTTAAATCTCAGTGCATGAATATTTTTAAACTCTTAGAAAAATGTTAGATTTCAATCAAAATGTCTCCTCCTTGTTATTACGAGCTGCCCAAAAATAGTGACTTGAGAAGACTACATAAATAGGAAAATGTGTGGCGTCATCTGACAAAATATAAAGTAGCATATTGAAATGGACTTTTTTCAAGTAGTAATTGATCTATTCAAGACAGAAAATATTAATTTAATAGAAAAATTGAACAGAAAAAAAGGAGTAAACCGTTTGAATCACCGATTTAGATGCAAAAATTTATAACATTAGTTATTATTTTTGTTCTATTCACTCGTTCTTAATTTCTTTTTATTTCACACTATCAACATCGTTTTATACAGACAATAAAAATCGATGTTAAAAAGAAAACAGAGTTCGGTTAGAAAATACATTCGAGAAGGACCTATTCATTTTACAAGAGTGTTTGCGCAAAATAATCTTGGGTTAAGCAAAAGTGTTTCTGATCTGCATTGTAGTTAAATACCAATGACACATACAACGATTGAAGTTCATTTCAAACAAACTGGTGAAAGTATTAATGTACCAGTGTCTCCACGATCCACAATCGAAGATATTATTAAATATGTGTGTGAAAAGAGTGTACTTACAAAGCCAGGGTTTGTATTATCAATTAACTAGATTGATCATACTTGAGTCAAACTAACATTCTAACTACCAAACTAGCAAATTTAAAATACGGGGATGCTAATGAGTTGCATGGACCAAGATATTTCATTGGCCAATAGATCATCTCTGGTGGGCTCTAATTTTCCAGATAAATAATATTTCTGAATTTCGATCTGAAACTTTGCATCCATAAGGACTTCAACAAGACTAGGTTGCAAAGCAAATCTCAGAAGTTTTGGATAATCTGTCTTTGAGATCGAAGATGGGTTATGCAAACTTTAATGCCGAAATTCTAAAATATTATTTTTCTGGAAAATTGACGTTCACCAGAAAAGACTTATTGAAAAATGAAATATCTTGGTCTACGCAATCTATCAACACTCTATATTTTAAATTTGTTAGTTTGGCAGCAAGTGTATTAATTTGACCCACATATGATCAATTTAAGTAACTGACAATGCGAATCCTTTCATTGTTAGATCAAAAATTGATTACAATAATTATTATCTCGTTTTGTTGAACAATCAAGAAATGTTGGATAATGATAAGACATTGAAAGAGACCAACATTCTTATAATAGAAAAACCCAAGCTTCAATTGTGCATGAAAACAGCGATACGTGAGCAAATAATGGCTCTTGCTCGACAAATATCAAGTACAGGTCAAGGTGGAAGAGTAGTCAAATTACCAATACCAGTTTATATGCCTCAATCAAGAGTAAAAACAGAAAATAATGAGAAAGTAAGTGGCAATAAGGTTTCATGGTTCCTTCATTGATTGTGTTCACTTGAGCAACCTTTCTATAAATATATCTATGTCTAAAGTGTAAAACAAACATGTTTTTTTTTTATGTGTTTAAAGTCGTCGCCCTCTAGTTTCCAAGCTGGTGCATCAAATAAATTAGCGCCTACTCGATATGCAATACAATCTAGCACAGAAAGAAAACCAGCACCGGCAGTACCTCCAAAGCCTTCTAACCTATTAAAGAACGATGCAATTAACAAATCATCACGAAATAACGCCCCATCAATTACTCAAACTGAAATATTTTCAAGTGCTCCTTCACTTAAGGATACTTCATGTCTCACAACTGAAAAGTTGAAATCTCCTGATACTTCAAAGTTAGTTTCAATAACTAAAAATTTAAAATCGAACATATCTGATTCATGTCAGATGTCATCCCCACGTGTACAACCTACACAAGAAGAAGTATCTTTCCCTAAAGAAAGAACAGTATCGAATGAGGATGATCGATATTCATCTCGACCAAAAAATTTAGCTGACACTTACCAAAGTGTAACATCTAAGATTCGTGAGGTTGGTGCGGCTGCTACTCGTGATCCTGTTATACGTCGAGATATTTCTACAACATTCAAAGAAATCAATATTGTCTTATGCGGCTCACCACGAGTTGGAAAAAGTACTCTGATCAACGCCATATGTCAACAGATGCTGGCTAAAACAACTCCTGGACTTGATTCCTGCACGCATGCTATATCACGTTATCATCTTAAAGGTAACATCGAAATTGATTCTAAGACAATAAACTATCAATACAATTTTTGGGACACTCCAGGATTTGAGAATTGGACTCAAGAGGACATTCGCAGAAAATTAGAGGATATTTTAAAAAAACCCAATTCCGATATACTATGCATGATGTATTGTGCATCACCAGGTTCTTATACAAATCTTCTACAACTACGTTGGCTACTGAATGAGTGTATGAAAAAACAAATATTTTGTGCTCTTGTATGTACAAATAAACATGCTGGACAACAAGCACAACGAAATGGGGTCCTACAAGATTTTCAACGGTTACTGACAGATTACCATGTCAAAACTGGAGAAAAAAATGGTATTTTCTACTTTGGAAATGTGGGACTGTGCACAGCAGTAAATAGTGAGAAATTTTTGGATGACGATACCGGCAGAACGTTTGATGAATCCGGTATTGATGAGCTTATTTTTGGTATTATGGAATCACTCGACGATGAAAAAGTGGCTCAATGGTGTATGGTAGCGTTTGAGAACAAGTCATTTTGGAAAAATGTGTTTAGATTTCCGGCACAATTGAAAGCATTTTGGAACAGACTGGTCAACAGAACATGAACAGAAAAAAGTCAGACAAATAGACATATCATTGCGAAAAGTTTAAAAGAATAATGATTGTAAAAGCAGAAAAAAGAACTTTATCGTATATTTTTTCAACATGTTTTGTTTTTATTGATTTTATTCCTACAAAGTAAAACTAAGCAATTCAATTAAACTCATTTAAAAAAATGCGTCTAATTGCTATTCACTCTCTCTTTAAGTTAGACTTCTTTATCGGCATTTATTAGCCAGGTCAAATGTGAAATAACAAAAAAAAAGGTCTATGGAATTTCTCAATTATAATGAAACATCCTCTAGAAACAAAGCTAGAGTAAGAACGAGATTCATTTCATTGTCCCGATGCTATCTGAAGCTCATGAATCCAATGATATCAGATCTATACTTCTAATGCAAATGTATGACTTCCATTTGATTGGCGCTTGCTCAGAGATGGAATTGCAGGAGAGAAAGTCGATGTAAGTCAATAGCAGACTCGCACCCACACAAACATATCCCCATCTACGTCTCACAACTAAACCCC